CCGGAATACCAAATTTCATAAAAATATTTCGCACCGTTTGGAAATTTTCGTAAAAATTCTATTTAAAAAATTTTATTTTGTCGCTCTATATCTCGAAAACAAAAGGAAATAGACATATAGTACATAAGACATCAAATTATTATTTTTTGTCGTACTATCACCCCTTGCATTTACGGGATGTCTTTCTGAAACACTCTGTATACATGGCTGGGGTAGAAAAATACAGAGATTGATTCTCAATGAGATTTAAATAATTTTAGCAATAAAACTACATGTTGGCCAGTGGTCCATAAAATACTATATTCTAATTACATTTCATCCAAAGCTGTCTTGTATATTCAATTTCAATATTCGTATAAAGTTTTGTTCTACAAGTATGGATGTTTCCTTATCTGCAGTATAAATGTTTCAGTACACACGTAATCATTTTTTTTTAATTAGATAATATTAAGTTCACTTAAAAACAGTGTATTTGTTACATACTGACATCGACAACACTCACCTACAGTGTCGGCTATGTTTTAAAAATATAGAAGGAAAATAAATCAAGCAGATATTTTGATCGATTGCTAGTAATCGTTGATCAGGACGTCCAATGTAAGGATAATTCTGGCAATAGTAAAAAAAGTATTGCCTTCATTTGGTCAAATGGAACAACTTATACATTGTTCTTTTGAATTCCTCGTTGAATACGAGGTGTGTTCAGAAAATAACTGAATTTTATTATTTTTTTTAATCTTTATTATTAATTTTGTACATTTTTGTCTCCTTCAAAGTACTTCTGTCCCCTATTCACACTCTTTTCCCAGCGATATTTCCATTTTACGAAGCATTCCTGAATAGCTTCATTTGAAATGGACTTTAAAGTGTGTGAGGTGTTGAAACGTTTCCGTGAAAATTATCCCGAGTTTCACGCACATTTTACGTAACATCGTTGTTCCAGAAAATCGCACATTTGAAAAATCTTCACTATCACTTAAAGACGTTGCACTCAAACAATAATATCACGAAAAGTTAATGAGATATCAACAATCCAAGGTTACAGGTGAGGTTATGCGTAATGCAATGCTGCCAACTGCAAAATATTAGCAAAGTATTTTAATTATTTGCCGATCCCTCGTAATTGATAAAGTCAAGATTGCCATGAAACATGTTCAAGCTTTTCCGCTGTTGAATTTACTAAAGAGATCATTAAATACTTTTTGTGAAAAAAATATGTACTGTACTATAAAAGGTATTTTATAATAACCTCATCGTGTTTGTTCTAGACAAAGGATTTTTTTTATAAATTTTTCTTACGAAGGGATAATTCTTAAAACTTACATGGAAAAAATATACGTCTTTTGTCTAGAACAAATACTCTAATGTTCTTCCAACTAATGTAATTTTAAGTGACTATATCATTGAGTGCATACTTCTGGATATCAACGAAAACAACGTTCATATCAATGTTGATAATGGAATTTTTCTAATAAACTTTCTACGGATAGGGGAATTTTCAAAAATTTATATTAAACAATAAATTAATTTGATATGTTCCACCAAGACCGCACTGTACTCTGACGCCAATAAAAAAATCGAATCTGTAACAGGATATAAAAAATATCAAGTGATCTTATTATTCTAAAAGCAAAGCTTCATTGAAAACTATGACAATTGTTACTCCTTTTTTTGGTTAAAGCGATTATCTTAACATATCTCACTACAGGTTGTAGAGGTACTTGAGAGTACGGACAACTTTTCTTGATATGAAGATTTCGTTTGAATATTATCTTTAGCAAGTCGGTTTGAATTCCATCAGTTCGGTAGCCACATAAATAAATATTTTCATTATCGAAATAAGTGAGGATATGATTATGGACGTTTCTAATCGGTTAAAGCAATTTTTAGAAGTAATTTTATTAATATGCCTTTCACTAAGAGGATAAACGAAGTAAATATTATTTATTACAATGCAGACAGCAGAAAATTTGGCACAAGAACCAGACCAGGCCTTAAATATATTTTATGAAGCGTATTCAATGGCGTGAAGTCTCGCTGATCTTTATTTTATATTTGCGTAATTAAAATTTAATTAAAATACAAAGAAACCAAGTCACTATTTTAATTAATTTGATTACTAAATAGTTTTTTCAGTATTCTCATGATTTTAGAAAATGGGCTTGACTGGTTTTTGCACCAAACTCTAGACAATGAAATTGTAATACTTCAACATTTTTCTTAAAATGAATTTTTTTTAATAGGCTATGTTGGACGGAATATATTCTTTTCGTATCGTATCATTAATCATAAATGCGAACATTTTCGAATGTCTGTTCCGAAACTTCAAAAAACGATCATTCCAGTGATGTTTATTTATGCCTGACAAGTTTCACACGAAGTAAAAGTTTAGTATATCTAAATAAAAGTAGATACGTAGAAAGTTCCAATTTGTTAAGTATCTGCATATACTTTAATTACGTTAGCAGAATAAAATTGCTACAGGTTTACGTTCACAGCCATTAGATAGGTACCCTTACCATTTAAAGCAGGTACTAATAAATAAATTATGCGTTCGAAAGTATTTAAACAAATCCGTTCCTATATTTGTTAACTGGTAGAAATTTTTTACGTATATCTATGCCATTTACTTTCAGTTTATGCTTTTGACGGAGAAGTATGAGCTAATAATAAATATTGTCACGTTTATGCAGATCCATAAGGTTTAAAAATTCTTAATTCAGTTTAGAATCTGTGAATTTACTAATATAATCTTAAAAAAATTTAACACGTATTTCATTATCATAGCAAACATGTCAACTTTCAAGTAACACGAACAACAAGTAAAGTTATATGAAAGGCAAATAAATTAAATCAATTGCTTGAAGTGTTCATCTCCAAACTCAATCCACTTTTGGTATCTTTGGGTTATAGAATTCACAGCAGCTCTGATTAAAACTGGATTTTTCAAATTAGTGCAGGCCTCATTTATCTAAATATTTAGATCAGGTGATCTAGGTGGCCAAAGTATAGGGCCATTCCGACTAATCCATCTGTTTTGGTGGTTTGTAATGATTTTACACAAATATTTGCTTACATTCGTTTTGCTAGCACAATTACACTTATGCACATTTTTATGGATAAATACTCGTATATCTTCCTGTCATAGTTTGTATCTTTATAATCCCAAACAATTTCAGAACATATAAAGAAATTCAGATAGTTCCACAACAAAAAAAAAACAGAATTGGTACTCTCTAGAATGAGACTCACCTTTTTTATAAAAGAAATTAATGTGTGAAAAATTAGTAAATAAATCATATTTTAATTTTACTTTAGTTTAAATATAACAAAATTGCAGTCAATCTAACAGTTTCACGTGATAATCCCGTACATACGTTCACAGTATTTATAATCGTAATTAATGTGATTAGTTAAATAAAAAACAACTATACTAAAAATTCTCTACCGTATTTTCTTCCGAAATTTCCTGGTGTTAATGAGTTTTTATAACCTCTTTTCAATTTTGTAAAGTCAGTGTACAAGAATAATAATCATAATTGCCGTAATAACAGACTTGTTTCCGTGACTATTACCGAGACGTCTCGTAATTTTACACAACATTGTCATTCTTCCGGATTTGTCGCCAAAATTATTTAATAAATTTGTACATGGTGACTAAACCATATTTCTATCCTACGGTTTTAATAGCTGTCGTGAAAAAATAACAACGAAAAGTTACTTTGTCATGTCACTCATTTGACAGGATAATTGTTCGCCTAATTACACTTTGGTAGTTATTAAAAGTAGCTCTGCTAGAATGTTAAAATTGAATTCAAGCCGTTGATAAGCGCTGGATACAGTTTTTCTTTTTTATTGATAATTTTTTAATTAGAATTTTTTTATGTAAGGTAAACTTACTAAATAGGTACTTGAATAAAGCGACAGTAACTGTAAAGCTACTAATAGGTGTCCCAAAACTTGCGCGAGAAGTAATTTTCATAGAAAACGCAGGTTTTGAATTAAAAATTGTAATTTTTTATTGATGCATAAAATATACAGTACAGGGTTCTACATGGAATAACATATCGGGTAAATGGCATCCAAGACTTTGCTAACATAGACGCATTCATTGTCGAAATTTTCCATGATCGTTTTGCATAAATGCGACTGAATTTCGTTGATACAGCGCTAAATTTCTTCCTTCAAGGCGTGGGTGGTGGTGGTTGGCATAAACCTTAGACTTCAAAAAGTCCTAAAGAAAAAAGTCCAACGGCGTTAAATTGCATGGCTGGGCAGCCAATTCTGATCGCCAAAACGGGAAATTACACGACCAGGAAATGACTCGTGCAGTAATTGAATTGTTTCTCGGGCTGTATGTCATATGGCTGCGTCTTGTTGAAACCACATGTCGTCTCCATCCATATCTTGCAATTTAGGTACAAGAAACTGATTTATCATGTCGCGATAGCGAGCACCATTAAGTGTTATTGAATGACCAGACGCATTTAAGAATAAAGATGGTACGATGATGCCTGCAGTCCAAAATTCGGACCAAATAGTGACCGTTGTGGATGTATTTGTTTCTCAACAATCACTCGTGGATTTTCTGAACTCCAAATGAGACAATTTTGTCAATTAACGCTATCTGGATTAAAATGAGCCTCATTGCTGAAGATAATTTTGTTCGGAAAATCAGCATCCACTTGCCTCGAAATTATGTGGTTCTTGTGGTAGTATCGTCCAGTATACCCGCTACTGGTTGATGTACAATATTATAAAAATTCAGTGGATTTTTACCTTTTCTTCATTAAACCGCTAATTTCATCAGTCTACATCAAACAGTTTTAGAGATAATTGCATAAATTCCATAAATTTAATATTTTTAAAAAAATGTATTATCTCGAAAACTGAGCCGTTTAGAACTTGGGTTCATAGCATTTTACACCGTTTAATAATCGCCAATAATATTCAAATTCTTTTATTATCAATTTTCTGTACATAAATATTTTATTTTTCAGTTAGGCGGATGTTAGTGAAAGGGGTCAGTCCAGACTCTTGCAATGAAGATGGTCTCACGGCCTTACACCAGTGTTGCATAGACGATAACGAACCAATGTTACTACTCCTATTAGAATATGGTGCTAATGTTAACGCAGAAGACAGCGAAAAATGGACACCATTACATGCCGCAGCAACATGCGGACATCTGAAACTAGTTAGGTTTGTTTTCGTTTTTCTTCACGTCTTATTCTTAAAGCATATATTTTTTCCATCCGTCTTACATAGTAACATTTTTTAAATTACTTGAATATAACAATGTTTTTTTAGGCTCAAGAAGCTGGATTAAGATAATATTAATCCCTTATGAATTGATTAATTTTTATCAAAAAATCCATGTTTAATCAGTAGATAAGTCGACTTGAAAATTGGGAAGCTTAGGGCGATTTTAATAAAAATACAATAAATCTTCCAGATATTTAAATATAAATACAATTAAAACATACCACGACGAGTGCTTTTGTCTTTTATATTTTTAAAGAAGTAGTACAAAGTAATACAAAGTAATTTTTTAAGTATCTAATCACATGGAAGTTATATATAACTTATAATAACTTTACTAGTGCTCACTAGAGAATGTTAGATCTCTATCCATTATTAAGGAATCAGCAAATATTGACCAATTATCCAACAATCAATCAATATCTTAAATGTCTTCAAATTATTATTAAATTTATACCTATATTAGACAAACGGCAATTTTATTTGAAATAAATAAGTTTTTGTGATTCGAAAGTAACAAAAAACAATTTTTGAACTTAATGTTAGTTATAACCACATGCTAAAAATCAAACACCTTATCAAACATCAGCGAACCGGACGAAATAATAAACATAGATGATTCGTTGGCAATGATTTTGTGATACTTATAACATCTAGTAGAAATAAGAACTGGAAATAGCATTACTGGAGGTTAAAGAAACCTTTGCATTGAAAATATATTTTGTAACAATAAAGTTATACAAAACATTGTAATATTTTTGGTTTATAATGAATTAACGTAGTTAATAAAATTGACAGATAAAGTAAAACAATCTTCCTCGAAACGATTTTTTTATTACTTATTTAAATAATAGAGATTCCATCAAAAATTTTCTAGAATACTCTGTTTACGTATTATAAATAATAAATTATAAAAACAAATTAAATTAAACTGTGGAAAATAAGAAGATAATTATTCAAAGTGGTCTTTATGATTATTTTCCAATATATTTTCCGATATTATTGAACAAGGCAATTCTTTGGATTATTAAAAAAGTTCCTATTAGAATATATTGAATATAACTCGAAAGATATTTGACATAGATGAATTAGACTTGGTCTAATGACTTAACTTATGTAAATGCAATGTTTTTATAATTTCTTGAACCGTAAAATTTTGATACTTGATTAAGTACGATTCTTTTTCTCAACACCGATTGTAACCCAACTATTTTATTGACCATACTTTTGTGGCTATTTGTTATTAGCGCATATTCGAAATAAATGGAAACTGATTGCATTGTTGTTAGGAAAAAAATTACGTTGGCTGTAAACTTTATTGCTTTTAGAACATAAATTCATAATTCTTTAACTATAATAAAATAGGTTCCTATAAAATATCATATTTACTAAATTGTTTTGCTGACTTACAGCCAATAGGTAATATTTGTTATTTAAACAGTCAAAATATTTTTTTTAATTTAATGGAGATTCAAATATATAAAACTAGAACATTGTATGTATTAATTCAATTCATTAATAAATTAATTCAACATAAATTCACAATCAAGAACGGAAAACAAGTAGGGGATTTATATTTTTTTGAAAATTTGTCTGTCAGAAAGCATTCGTGCTTCTCTTTGAAGTACAAATAAATAATAAACTATAAACAATAAAGAAGCTTGTGTATAAAAAGACCACAATAGGCAACTTGCATGAAAATTTCTTTCTTTTACAACGCGATAAAAAATTAATTTCTTGAATGCTATAAATTAATTATACATGTTTAAAATAATGTAAAAATTTAAATGTCACCTGATCTAGAAGACAATGTGACGTAATTTAGTGTGATCGAGAAGACACGCGCATGCGTGAGCCTCGAAGCAAAGTGAATTTAGCTGTCTCTAGACTCCTGTTCCTTGCTCTACTCGTGCTGTTGAACCGAATTGGTTTGCGAGTCCGTGTAATGTGAGAATGTATGTATACGAGTATCTGTCGGTCTTATTACTAGCATTATGTTCTGTACAAATTTATTGCACAATAATAATACAATTCATTTATTCATAATATTGATTGTAGAGTCGATAATTTATATGCAAATGCTTTGTAATTTATAACTAGGTACTTTAATATCAATATATACTATATTCCTGTAATTTGATATTATAATATTCAACTCCAGTCCCTAGTAACTGTCCTTATTATGCTGTCATGTAACAAATAATATGAATGACCACCTACTGGTTAATATACCTAACTATCTGCAAATTTGTTTATCATGTTCATTTAGAAAGGGTTTGAAATCATTTTTAAGAAACATTTGAATTTGTATGGTGCAGTTTATTCCACAAAACGATTTTTTGATAACAGTTAAATTTGAAAAATAGACGTAGAGAATTAACAACTACAAATTCTATCTGAAAACTTCAGTTTCTGATGGAGGATAGTTATTTGTAACTTAAAACTATGTAGAAAAAAAAATAAATAACATATAACATATATGTTACTCTAGTATTTAGCATATGAATAAGTTTATATGTATAGTTTAATAATAAAGCTATTTTGATACTTTTAATTCATTGTCAAAAAATACTAAGTGCATTGTAGATGCAACAGTTTTATTAAAAAAAAATAATGTGCCTTAATGTTTGGATTTAAAATTATTACAAGTTTTGGGGTATTGAATTTTTTAAATTTATTTATAAATATAATTTGTTTAAAATTTAATGGTAACAAAGATTTTAAAGCTCCTTTGAAAGAAAAAATTCGTTTGACTCCAACTACATATACATTTTGTTTTCTCATTAAATTCTACTTTTGAGCTCTATTAACTAGTTTTATGTGAATCGCCCTAATATGAGTTTTTTTTTTAATGAAACATATGTACATACATATATTTTGATTATAATATACAGTGATGTAATGTTGATGTATTTGTTTCTAATACTTGCAAAAAGAATGTGCCGTTAGCCTATAATGTATTAGAAAGAAATTATTACCTATAGTTAGTAGTTGCTTGGCATCCAGATCTTCCTGTAGCTTATTGCTTTTATTATATGGTCATTTGGCTCTATCTCTGTTATTAAACAAGCAAGAAAGCATTCTATTCAAATATTAAAAAATATACAAGGTGTTAAAATAATACAGGATGGAATGACTTTAATTTTGTTATTAATTTTTCATATCTCGAAGATAACGATCGACTACCCGTTATATATGTACAACTCTGTATGTACATGATCTGTACTGTCAATTTTAGTTTTTATTTATCTGAATAACAGAAAATCTATTATTTCTATTTGTATTTAAAACAAAATATCTATTACTTATTTAAATAGCATATATTATTTTTAGAATTCTCATATCACATGGTGCCAATCTGTTAGCCGTCAATGCTGATGGGAATATGCCATACGATATATGTGAGGATGAGGCGGCGTTAGATTATATTGAAGGCGAAATGGCCAAACGAGGTGTTACTCAACAGCTTATAGACGAAACGAGAGCAGCTACGGAAAGGCAGATGCTCATAGACGTGAAAAAACTAGCGGCTAGTGGTGGAAATTTAGAATGTTACGACAGTCAAGGCGCAACCCCTGTGAGTAATTTTTTTATACTTAAGTATGTTGATCTATGTAGAGGATGTATGTGACGAAATATGTAAAATAGAAAAATTAAATAATTACATGTCCTACATTAATTTTAAATTAATACCAACATTCTATTTTTCAACCTTAATAATGCTGTAACTTCATGAAAAATGAAAATTTTGTGGGGATTAAAGAAATATCTGTTCTATTTATTAGTTGATTATGAAAAAAATATCCTGTACTGTAAATATACTTGCAAGCCCTTTCAAGATCTCAGCATCGGCCGTGTCTATTTTTAATTTTAATTTCACAAATTTCATTCGAAATCAGCACAGAAGTTCTCTATGTGGGCCTAGAAATAATCTAAAAAGTATGGGCTCCATTCTTCAATATCAAATATAATTTTTAAACGCATAAGTACAAAACAAACAACATTTGCTCAAAATGTCCACCACTATTTTCGATGCACGCACGACACCTTCGAATCCAATTTTCAGGCACTCGCTGGAAAACGCCTCAAGAAAAGGAAATAGTGGTACGCAAAAAACACTCAGACACGGTCTAATTCCAGATACCAACTGAATTGCGTATTGCTGGACAGCTTAGTACCTCGTGCTATCCGCCGCGCCGTTGTCACATTGCTCGATATGAATTTTATTGAATTTTAAATTTATTACAACGCTAATTATTTTTTAGAACCATAAAAAATTCAAAAAAGTTATAAACATTGTATTTTATGGTATTCTATGCCCGCAGTTATGTCGGTATTCCTTAATTAGTCAAACTTTTGCACATAAAGTTGGAGAATTTGTTGATTTTTTTCTCGGAAATGGTTGAGTTTAGGACCCATGTTACATAAGGTTTTTCTTGTTTATTTTAATGTATTCTATCGTCTCTTAAAATTAAGACAGTCAAACTTGTAACACCATGTATATAAAAGAATTAGAGGTGTGGCTCTCCCGACAATATAATTTTTCATAATTTTTGTTTTCAGTTACATATAGCAGCTGCAAACGGATATATATCGGTAGTAGAATTTCTTCTAGACCACGGAGTAAGGACTGATGTAAAAGACAAAGATGACTGGCAACCTTCTCATGCAGCTGCCTGTTGGGGTCATGTATGAGACTTACACATTCTGTAAATTATATTTTTATAATCCGTTGTTTCATTTTAGTTGGAAGTATTAGAATTACTGGCGCAAGCAGGAGCAAATTTGAATGCAAAAAATAAACACGATGAAACTCCTTCAGGTGAGCAAACAATTTCAACTATATTTTTTTTTCTTCGATACGATTTTGAGGTTACATTGTTAGGTTATCAGGCTGAACATTTGGCTTAATATTTAAATCATTATGTTTCACGTAGTGCAAAGTTTTACGATTTGCTATACATATCTACAATCATATAGAGTGTAATATAATGATACAGATTGATTCCCAAGTTGTGAGATATACTAGCTTTATTTTAGAAAATTTGTATAACTATGATCTTATTATCTAAAGACTGTTGATTAAAATATTCTGAATATACAATATCAACAATGATTAATGAGCATGAACCAAAACTTAGAAAGAGAATATGTTTGTGCAATATTCATACCTCTAACACGAGTGCTTCAATACTGCTTTAATAATGAAAAGGCTAAGAAAATATTAGTGTTCGATCTTAATTAGTTTACAAATCACCATCTACAATAACATCTCAGGCTATGTATAGCGTAACCACAATCTTGTGGAATCAAAATAAAACGGTTTAGACCAACTTACCCTTACATAAAGTTAATGCCTACTAAGATACATCACACGGAATAATTTTTTAATATTTCTTTAAAATTGTTTTAACAAGAAATGTCTTATTTGGTTTTCGTTTTTATATTATTTGATTGGAATATATTTCTTGAATATATATTTATTTTTTGTAAAATTTAAATTAAAAGTATTTTTGTATATTCAAACGAAAATTTCCATACATGAAAATAAAAAGGTTTATATGACTTGGATTCTGAAGTGATTTGTGTGCTATCGCAGTTTAGATGTGGTACCCAAAGTTGAATTTTTATTTTACATCTTAGGACAGGTTTATGCCTACCCTTTTGCATTTTTTATTTTGTAAGTATGTAACCACCCTTCGTAATATATGAATGGAATTTTCGAACACCCTCTATTTAAATACTAAGGCCAAATATTTTTCATTTTTGGACAAAATCCTCAGTAGATTCAAAACTGAATTGTGTCGTCATTGGAGTTATGCTTAAAAAAGTTGTGTATTGATTAAACAGGTGGAATATCTTGTTACTTTTTTCTTCCATATTCAACAAATAGTCACAATCTAAATAACTGACTAATGTGGATTCGCATTGAAAATTCATTCAGTAGATAAAAGCGATTTCCAGACCACTGAATGATGAGTGATCGCATGTTAACTTCAGAAGGTTAATTAATAACTAGTAAGCAGTAAATAGAATCATATCCATAAGTGAAATGCTTGGAAAATGTTACATAAACAAAGTCAATAAAAGAATAATTTCTTTTCTTACAAATTTCACTGGAATTCCCCAATAATAAAGTCTAGGAATGATGGCATACTGATTTGACACACACAAAATTAGGACTTTTCTTTATAAATACTAATAAACTTGTGGAGTCATATGCAAGAGCAATTTGTGAACGTTTTCTTATAATTTTTTCGTCAAAAACATCAAAATTATCAGTTATCTTTTTGAATGCTGCACATTTTCATTTTAAAATCCATGTTAAACCAGATTATTTGTATAATAAACAAATATATCACTGAACGAGTTTGAGAAAAATACATGTATACAATTTCAAAATTTGTAGCTTTGGCAACAATGCCTCAAATATGTAAATGAGAAAGACTTACAAGGAAGTAAACCGAATTCATTTGAACCTCGAGGACATGACACGCAATGGCAAAGTAGTAAAGTCAGGAATGGAGCCCATACTATGGGTCACTTGCTGCCTACATTTCCTTCTCATTCTTCATAAAATGTGCTCTCTTTTTGATTTGGCCATTTCAGGGCTCAAGTGAAATGTGCCCAGTTTTAATGTTATTATGCAGATGGAGTATCACACTTCATTTAAATCATCTTTACAATATTCAAAATTTGTAATTTTTTTCAGTCTAATTAGAAAACAATAATTTAAACAAAAAATCTTCTAAATATTTCAGTGTACTCTTTTTACATTTTTTTTTATTAATTTAATTCACCGAAAAAATTCATTACTTTCATCAGATTGATAAATTCGAAATATCTAAAAAAATTGTTTAAAAAAATGCTCAAACACATCAATAATTTATTCAAGTTGTGCACCTTCCTTAAAGCAATGGTTTTCTAATTTTCATGACTTACGGAACCCGGCAATATTTCGATTTTTTTGAGGAACCTAAAAACAATTAAAAATAATTTCAAACACATTTTTTACTGATTCTGGCAGCATACGGATTCCACATCAAAAGAACGACTCATCTTTTGATGCTATCCACCAAACAATCCAGTTTTTCGTACCTTCGTAAGATTGGAAGTGCTGCTTAGTCAGGCAGTTTTCCGTGGATCAGAGTATGTAGTAATTCGATGTAGCAATATCTGGTGAATATGGTGGGTGAGATAGAACATCCCAGCATTTATAGGTACTTTTTGACTTCATAAGCAACATGTGGTTGATCGTTGTCATGTTAAAAATTACAATATCGTGTCTTTGTTCAAACTGTGGTCATTTTTCCCTCAATGCACATCTCAAATGCATCAATTGTATCCTGCAGCATTCAGCAGTGATGGTTTCATTCAGTTGAAGTGACAGAACACCAAGTTCTTCTCACCAGCCATAAATATTTGGCCTTGCTATCGATGACCAAGCAAAACCCACGATTTTCTACGCTTAGGATTATCACAGTGTATTCATTTTTCGTCTCCAGTGTTCACACGTGAAAAATCTCCCTTCAACATCTCTCGGTTTCAATTCGTATGGCACCCAAGAACCATACCAAGTGTATTTAAACAGTTGGAAACTGTTATGCGATCAACATTCAACGATTCAGTAAGTTCATCTTGCGTTTGACATGAATCTTGGCCGACTAGGGCATTCTTTGTCAACTGTATCAAAATCACCGCTTCTAAAATAGTCAAAACCAATAAGTACTCATACGTTTCTATGAATGGAGTATGTTCACGATAAGTTTCAAACAGCACTCAATGACTTTCAGTAGCACTTAGCTTTCAATTAAACAGGAAAAGTAAAAAAAATGGCATTTTGTTGGCTGAGGAAAGATATGTTCTTTACACTTCAGCAAATTAACACATAAAAAAAGTCTAGCCCAAAGACGGAGCTTCTACATGAATATAGTTACAGAAGTGTCCGATGCGATATAGCATCTAATCCATCTATCATCATCATCATCATCATCATCAACATCATCATCATCATCATCATCATTTTTATTTTTATTTTGGATAATTATTAATTACTAACTATTTACTAAATATTGCTGGTGTAATTAAATGCTAGTTGGGGCATCCAGCCCATAAAGTAGTTTCCTGCAATATCAACAGTTAGGAATTTTGTCTGAGATTGCATACTAGATCTTTGTTGTCAAAACACACTGTTTGATTATTCGATAGGATTTTGTTTAGGGAAATTTTTTTGAATTTATTCTTAGTGAGTCGCACTGTATATGCTATATCTTATTCTCTGTTTTTGCTTCATTTGCAAATATTGAGAAGTGTTGTACATATTTTAGACATCTGCGAAGACCCTGAAATAAAAGAAAGGATCTTGGAATTAAGAACTGAACAGGAAATAAAGAAACAAGCAGAAGCGAAACGTAAGGTGAGGAGGTCACAGAGCAATACCAGAACGCAATCGGTTAGACGGACTTCTTTACGTGATAAAGGATTAACTGCCAGAAGAGATGCTGTAGAAGAGGCAAGATTAAGACTGCAAGCTGAAAATAGCGTAAGTAAAGTCTTTATTATTATTCGATTTGATATAATTAAAGTAACACGTTTTTTTAACCATATCATTATATAAAGTGATTCAGCTTTAAAATATTGGTGTTAATTTATGTATTTGTGGTATGTTTGTATTATTCGACAAGTTAAACTCATGCAAAAAACATATGTGCATGTATCAATCCCAATAACATTAACTTTCTGTTAATGTTAAATGATATAAAAAACATTTATGTGCTTATCTTTATTAATATCTGCAACTTTTACTTTCCGTTTAATTAACCAAAATTAATTAGCGAGCAGTAAGCAAAATTATGCAATTTATTTAGAAGGATTTCTCTAGATAATTTATGTTCTACATTATAAAATCATCCAAATATGAAAATGATTACATTTGTAATAATCATGATACGCATAGTTATAGAAATGTGAATTAATTATTTCCAATCGTTGAGCAAATGGAGTAGGAATATCAGGAAAGTTTATATTAAGACATCAGTTAACGGCCATATTAATACAGTTTGTGTTGCATTCAACTTGCACTTTACCTCAAATTCTTTAAGTGAAATTAATGCATTTAGTATTTGAACAAAGAGTTAAAAAATGATGTATACTTCTAATAATGTTATTAAAATCAACCCGTTTGCAGTGAATAGTTTTGTCTTACTGTTCGCAATATGAAGAAAAAGAAACAACCTATAATTTGTTTATCTTACAAAGTAAGTAATTGATAAGATTATATTTATAGTAGGATCGTATTCGATGCAAAGTAGAGCAGAAAGTTGTCAGTCTTTTATCAAAGGAAAAAGGAAAACCATTTCAAAATTAAAATGAAATTGAATGTAAAATCTGAAAAACTGCTGTGTTCTAGTACAAGCTGTAGTCGCCCAAGTGCTTCGAGTGTACGAAGTGTTCGGTTATATGTCAAATACTAACCTGGCGAGCTCGTAAATCAAGAGAGCACCTCCAAAAAACAAGTAAACAACAGTAGCGTGTACAGAGGTAAAATGTAGTACATATGTGGAATTTAAAAAACAAATTGGATTTATAATAAATTGCATTTAAAATAAACAGTTTATAAGAATAAAGGAATTTTTGTAGGAACAAGGGTGCTAGACGTGAACTGATCCATTCGTCCCTTCATAATGTATAAAGAAATTGTGCAATTTCTAAAACCCTTAAAATCGTATTGCACTGGATCCGTTGACAGGCAGTGATTTATTACTTTGCATCGAATATGATCCTACTATAGTTAATGATCAATAAGACGAAAATATAAATTTTGTGTTTGTGAAATCAGTTTTTGCTCCTTTTTCACCCCTTTAAATTTTTGACATAAGTTCATTAACTTGTATAATTTTAGTTTTGTATTATATGCGTTTATATGCATTGTGTTAGAAAAGTCAATTTTAAGTCATAATCTGGTACTGTATTCCGTCCACTTTAATTTTTAGGGCTTGGACAGCAACGATTCCAACAATTCCATATCAAATTCGAGCCCGAAGATTATTTTAAACAATAATCATTTGGACGATTTAAATACAAACACCAACAAAGAAAACAACGCGATCAGTCCTGTGAACAACGAAAGTAACGCAATCCAAATAACAGAGGATCGTAGAGCACCCGAAGGAAAAGACGATGACTCAGTTTTGGATGATCAATTGATGGACACAAATGAAAAAACTTATACGACGGACGTTAACGGCAAAGTAACAGTTCACGTTGTTGTTACTATTAACGGAAATGGGACGTTAGCCGATTTAAAGAAACAGCGAATGCAAATTAGGAATAGTAGCAACGATGTAAATAGTATCACATCACCTGTAGGTAGTATTACTGAAACCGAATCTAACCTAAGTCCCTCCACAGATATTGTTAGATTTACTGGCAATACTACTGAAGAAAATATTGAATACTCAAAACCAAAACGATGTTGTATTATACAATAAGCTTTTATAATTACTTCCATATTAATGCATTCATAGAATATTACTTAAAAGAGATATAATTTTGAAAATGTTTCCGATGATCAACGTTTGGACTTTAATTTTATAGAAGAAGATTTTTTATTTTTATATTAAAATTGTTATTTTCCTTTTCTTTTATTAGAAAAAATACTTGTGTAAGATGAACTGATGCCTCATGGCTAACCTATATTTATTGTAAGATAATTTTCTTAATTATTATTATTATTATGTACATACCTATAATAGTAAATCAATTTTTTAATATTATAATGCTTCTAATTATGCGTCGAGTAAGACAGAATTTTTTATAAAAAAATATTTTTTAAAGTAAAATTCATGTACTTATTTTGTAAATAGTTATAATCGTTACACACATTTTTTAAATATGTTTGCAATGTTTTAGTTGACATGAAATTTTTAATATTTCTCTACTTGGTCTAACAAATATAAAAAAGTGGTAATCTTCTTAACAAAAAGACATTTATTTAAAATGTATATTTGTGTCAATGATAATCACTAGTGGCAGCTTATGAAAATTAAACTTAATATAAAAGAAAAAATTTCGAATGAAATTTGCAAAATAAAATATTAAAATAGGGATTGCCAACCCTGAGATTTCGAAAAGGGGTTGTACATGTACTTGTAAAATATCATTTTTCATAATCAACTAATAGATACAGGTACTCTTATTTACATATCACTCTTAAATTTTATTTTTTCTTAAAATTACACAGTATTACAAAGTTTAAACAATGAAATATTTGTATCAAATTAAAATTTCAATAGATACAACTACGAAAATATAAAAAAACACAATTATAATGGGATGTTGAGGATGTTGCCTGTGTTTGAAGTCAATTTTTTTCTTTAATACTCTTGAAAATTACATTTTAAAGCATTTTATTAACGCTCAAACAAGAAAGTATTTTTACATTACGTTAATTTTTTTGTGAAATTTGGATTTTTGTCATTTTTAGATGCAATTCTTTTATAAAATGAAATTTAAAAAAATGGTGAACAGGTCCATTGTGCGCAGAATACAAAAACAGCTGCACAACTTATCTTAGAGGGACCTTTGGTGGCATTGGCATGCTGCAAAATCACCTTGTTGTGGCTCTTTTCATATAGCATCCGTTTTCCCTCAATGCTTGGCTCAAACGCATCATTTGTAGTTTCATTCGGTTTGAGCAGCTCATAATAAACTACACCTAGCTGATCCCACCAAATGCAAAGCAGAAGCTTGGAACCGTGGATGTTCAGCATGGACGGACTTACCGCACGATTTTCTATGCTTAGGGTTATCATAGTGTATCCATTTTTCTTCACCAGCCACGATATGATGTAAAAAACCATTCCTTTTTTGCCGTTGAAGCAACTGTTCACACATGTAAAGATGCTGTTTAAAGTCTCTTGGTTTCAACTCGTATGGCACTGAATTTGTATCATTCCTAATGCTTTCAAACGTTTAGAAACTTGTGTGATCATCTTCTAATGACTACAAGTTCAGCTAACATCTGACATGGGTCTTCATGATGTAATGCCTCCAATTATTCATCTTCAAACTACTTCAGTGTGCCGGATCATTCTTTATCTTCAATTTCAAAATGTTTATATTTGAAGCGTCTGATCCAATTTCTGCATGTTGTTCGCCATAAGTCCCAACAAGAATTCTGTGTACTCCAACTGCACAATTTTTTTTAATGTGAAGCAGTGCAGTAAAATTCACAGCAAAAACTCTTTTTGGCTCGAAAATCGACATGTTTAACACTACGAAAAAAAATGTTGCTTATTGTACTTCATTATAGGTGCGTTACCATCTTAAACTACATGTTTGAAGTTCTGATAATGCCATCTGTTGGAGAACTTATTCAACATCCCTATATCTATCAGTTGATTATGGGAAAAATATATATTTTTCACATATATGTGCAACCCTTTGCAAGATATCAGCAGTCCCTATTTCAATTCTTTACTTTGCAAATTTCTCCTTGAGTTTTCTAGATGAGCATAGAAGTCTTAACAATAATAAAGAAATAAATAAAACAGTATGAGTCATATTTCCGTTATCAAGATATGACTCCTTAGTTTTCACCAGCTGCCATTTCAAGACACCTCTTTCAATCGGTCCTACTTCTATATTATGGAATATTTTCAATTCCGTCCAAAAATATTTATTTTTTTCAAATTAGCCATTAAAAAAAGCACCAACTTCTTCAATTTTCCAGAAAATTCTATATGTTAGGGCAAATAAAATGTATGTATTTCTTAAATCTTTGACAGCACACTTAAAAATACTGTTTTTTTTTTAATTTTAGCCAATTGCATATTTTTATCATAAATTGATTGTGTACAGGTTAAGCCAGAACTAATGATTGGTCGCCATTACACGAAAACGGAAAGCACAAATATAAAACCACCAATCTTTATAGAATGACGATTTAAATATTTGACTTAAAATTCTGTCATGGTAAGTTTAGCTAACGGCTCATTTTCCTAATTTCTTCACATATATTTTTTACAATGTATGTAGACTCCCATTTTTTTCAGTGAAAACAACTTTTATTAAAAAGTTTTTTCATATCTTTGCCCGTTCAAAAGATATAGAGAAAAATACTGGTTCGATCAAGTCTGTTACTGATTTTACCAGCATTGCCGTCGAAAACAAGATATTTTCAATGTTTATTGACATAAATCATTTGTCAAAAATCTGAACAATATCTACTTTTTCAGTATTTATTTTTTTGATAGATGTACTAACCATTAAAAGTATCTTATATTCCATGGCAATCCTGACAAAGTCAATAACAGACTTGATCGAACCAGTATTATCTTTTGAACAGGAATAGATATCAAAAAACTTTTTCAGTAAAAGTTGTTGAGAAAAAGAGGACTCAGATTTTTGAAATGGGGAAAATAACTTCAGTGATGTCAGTCCTTAGGGCCATAAACTTACGAACATGGATTATAAGTAAAATACTTACATCATCATACCAAAAAGATTCCTGCGGCTTCCTATTTGTTCTTTTCATTTTCCTGTAATGGCAGCCAACCATTATTTCTGGATCACCGTGTACAATATTCTCTTTCAAAAATTAATAAATTAAAAAACTGGATTTAGTAATATTGAGTTAGTTGAAAGAAAATATATTCGACAATAATTTATCTATAATATCTAATATCCAGAAAAATTTTGGATTGAGAACCACGAGAATAGAAAGTGACATTTTTCAAATGATACTACATGAAAATATTACAAAACTGCAGAAGGATAACAACAAAGAGACAAAAATGTCTTAATGAAAATACACAAATTCTCGTATTTTATATATGAAGAAATGTCTTAATCGTTTTCTAATTTTTGCGATTTGGAATAATTATCACTTATGTATGGTGTGTTTCATTTTGAACACTTTGTATTTTAGAATACATGAGTAATTTTTTTTAGTGTGGAGTACTTGATAGATTTACCTTATTATTTTTGTAATTTATTTCTATTACCATTTCATGGCATACTCGTCTTTTTTTTTCAGTCTCCCTATTTTTGATCATAGTAGGCCAAGAATTGAAAAGTAGATCACAAATACTCCATGCTGAGAAAAAAATATTTGAATATTGACCTATGCTTTCTAGAATAACACAAAGGTGCTGCTCAAAGTGGAACTCATACATATAATTTTATTTATAACTTTTCTAGAAGAGCATAAAACATAGTTATTGATTAAATTTATACCGTGTTTCTCATTATCAAATCTTTTGGAACTATTTTTTTGTTTTCGGATATTGTGGGAATAAAATGTTTAAAAAATCCCACATAAAAAATATCGTTAAAAAATTCATGTTTTTAATTCTAATATAAACTTTTTGAAAAATATTTTTAGGGTTTTAATAACAGATTTTGAAATCAATAAAATTAAATTTTGCCTTATTATACAAGGAAATAAATGGAATAATATGAGAATTTAATTAACATTTGTAAAGTATCGTGTCAAAAGGGCTTTGATATTTGTTGCGAGAATAACTTACAGAAAGATTTACAAAAAAACAAAAATTTTGAACAGTCCATAACCTCAAGAGATTATTCCGTGGATAATTTTACACCAAATAATATTTACGAACCAAGTTTTTCCGAGATACAGTGTTGAATTTGAAAAAATCCCATTTATTCAAATAACTGAGACTTAGGAAACATCGTTCTAGTTGCTTCTATTATCAGATCTCAGAAGAATATCAAAAATTCGATAGTAGTTTTAATTTTTATATACACAGAACATTAACTCTCGCAATGGATATTACAAAGCGAAAAATAATAAAAGATGGGCCTTAATCTTAGAGCAATTAATGATAATAATCTAAAACTGAAGCTTATAAAGAGTGATAAACTGTGATAGACGTTTATGAAATATTTTTATAAGAATTAAAATTTAAAATCAGTAATCACCACTATGTTTATCTTTATTAAACGAATCTGTCTGAACTACAAATTTTTTTAATTTTCCAAAATAAATTTTTCAGAGTAAAATTTTTATGAGGCAAGTCCTGTAGCCTAGGAAAGGTCCAGCATGGGCTTCAGTAATGATATATACAGGATATTGCACTTAGCATATCCACAGGTGTTTCGTTAGAAATTAAGAAACATATTTTATAGCGCAGCTAGCCGTATTCAAAGAACAGTGAAGAGTTCGATTTAGCATAGAAATATTTCCTTTATCTTTAAATTTGTAGATGGCTTGCTCTACAAAAAAATTGTTTGAACCAAAAAAAAATGGAACAAAACTTCACTTGCTTACTTTGTAAAATAAACCATTTTTTTCTTTATTTTTTTGGGTGTTTTGCCACCTGTGAAACAATTTAAAAAATTAGTAAAATAAACCGTAGCACCAAAAGAATCCGTCAAAGGTTATTTTTATGAAAATAGTTTTGCCCAACCAAAAATCTCACCCTCCAAAGTAACCTTTCAAAAATCTCTCTGTTTTAGTCTTCTGAACTTATAATGACTGTTTAATTATTTTTGCCTGTTAAACGAAATTGTTTTATTAATCTCTTGTTACAAAATATTCTTAATCTTTCTTCTATGAAACCTGAATTACCTTCCACATCTGAACTTCACAATTAAAGACAGCTTATGGGCTCTTTTAATTTTTTCTTCTCTTGCTATTCACTTAGTTATTATCATTTTCATCCACTATTCAAGTAATGCCGCGCGCCAATATCCTTGGCAGAAAAAATGACCTTGGATGGAACTTTGTCGAGCGGGACTATCGCTCTTT